TATATTTAGCGATGCTCGTCCAACGTGACAAACTCATCCTATAAATTAATAATATTGTATAATTAAATAGTAACGAGGATTGAGTGGGATTCATAATGTTAGTTGAATTGATAGGTTGTTAAACGTGGTTAGTGGAAAGTAATAATACGTTGATTTAGTGGGATAAGACGTTAAATCTCTTAAACAACGTTAAATGTTTGAATTTTGGCTATTGTGAATATAGTAAATTGGGTTGGTAAGGTCACATTTGTCTCTGTAGTACTTGATCCGAATTAATCGATTGAATATAAATGAATTATAAAAAAAATGTGGTTAGTGAAATGGGTTTTAATTTAGTGGTGTTTTTAAGTGACTTTAATTTGAAGTTGACGATCTAATAAGATTATCACACATCTTTTTTTTTTTTTTATCCATGGGAAGGTTCTAGATCAAGTTATAAACAAAAATATTTTTATTGAATACGTATAATTATAAGCAATATATTAAATACTTATTACAAAAATAATCGCTGATAAAATATATTCAAGCTAATAATTAAAAAATATGTAGATTGGATTTTTTTTAAATATAAGATTATATATATATTTAATATTTTAATTTAATAATAAAACAATCAAAATAATGTATATAAATCAAATTCAAATATCGAAAACTTGATTCTAATAGGTCATGACTGCCTGCAGGATACCAAATTAAGCGCTTGATATCCAACAATAATTCGGCTGCCTCCATAGTAAGCAAATCAAACTGGCATACTTGGATCCATGTTCCAGCAGAGACAAAAGAAGCATTTCCACCTCTCAACACCTGCAAGTGTCCCATGTCCACCATTGTCACATTTTTCTAAATTAATCATTGATATGTGATTTATTAATTTAATAATCTCGATCGAGATTTATGAAAGTTTATTATAAGACGATCTTTCTAATTTCATTTATTTTATATGTTAATATCAAATTGAACCTTTTATTTTATTTAAAAAATTTAATGTCTTATTTTATTAGATCAATCTAGTTGTCTGTACCATTATCATATTTAATTTAATTTAAGATAGGCATGAGCCTGTTTAAGCCACCGAACCGACGAAGTCTGCTCCATGAAGCTTTTGGTCGGTGTTAAATGGTAAGAGGCTGCCACATGTTGCTTGTAATATTTACACCGCATCGGAACAAAATCCCACGTCTTTATCATCACCCCTTTGATAAAATCAATTTCGCAAATGCCATATATCAGGAATACCATGCAAATAATTCCACCATAATATATAACTATGAAAGTTACGGGTCATATGACTTTTGATACGTGTCATAACATTTTTTTATAAATACTTGCATTTAAAATAATTATAACTTTATATTAAAAATTTTAATTTTTTTATTTAATTTGAAATTTGAAAATGATTTAGAGTTGTCATTGATCTTTGGGTTAGGTAGGTCGAATACCTAAACAAATTGTTTTTCAAATAATTTAAAAAGTTATTTTAAAGAAAAAAATTTAATCTACGTTTTACCAGAAAATCATTTTTAAGGATTTCGGAGTCGAAATACCCCCACGTCGTCCAAAATTAGTACCTCTTTATTAGTTGTCTAAAATAGTGGAATTTTATATATTTGAGTTCTAAATTTAAATTACGATCCTTTAATTTTTATGAATTTTGAAAAGATTGAATCTTTTTCTAAAACTTTTGACTCGATAAAAAATGATTTAATTTACTCAGTTTTATTTAAAAAAAAAAGATGTTTTCTTACTACGTGAATTAACATAAATTGAAACCCATTTATGTTAGACATAATTTCGTTAGCACACAATGCAAGATAAGATTGCCTTTAAATTTTTCAGAAAACGAGAAAACAAATTCATGACATATGAACGCAACAGTAGTAAATAACATATAAAAGTTGAATAAAATATCAAAAAAATATAATAAAACTAAACAAAAATAAATAAATAAAATAATAAAGAAAGGTAAATAAATAAATACATGAAATAAACAAAAATGAGCATTTATTTATTCAACTATGTAAAAATATATCTAAATAAAAAATATATTTATTTTAAAAAATAATTTATTTAAAATAAATAATATATATCTAATTAACTTAATAAGCCACAAATAATAATATTAAAATATTTTATTGGAATAACCCTTAGAAGAGCACGTTAAAATTTTGGAGGTGTTCACTATGTTAATCGTATAATTGACAAAGATTGCCGGATAATTTATAATATTATTAATAGTACTGAAATTTCTATTAAGTATAGTGATTAATACAATTTTTTTATCTTTTTTTTATTAATATATAGATACATATAATTTTTTTTATAAAAAGTACATATATAACTATATTATATATTTAATATTGTATATTTATAAATATTTAAAATATTACTTAAAATAATAAATATATATTACATATTCCATTTATGTAAAAAGAAACAAAATAAATGCACATATAACAATATAGGGACCAAATCGAAACAACATAAAAATGCAAGGGGCAATCAAAGCATTTAACCTTAACATTTCATTAAATTACCAACATAAATGATGATTAAAATGAATATTAAACAAAGTTAAGACTTGAATCATAAATACAATAAATTTAAACATATAATGAAAGGACTAATATAGAACAAATCTTAACTTAGAAAACCCAAATCAAGCATTAAACCATAACCATTTAATAACACGTGGTGACCAAAATGTAAGAAGAATAATGAAGATTTATTAATTTATTCAACTATGTAAAAATATATCTAAATAAAAAATATATTTACTTTTTTTTTAAATAATTTACTTAAAATGAATAATATATATCTAATTAACTTAATAAGCAACAAATAACAATGTTAAAATATTTTATTCGAATAACCCTCGGAAGGGCACCCCAGATTTTTAGAGGTCTTTCGTAGATTAATCGAATAATTGACAAAGAATATCGAATAATTTGTAATATTAATAATAATGAAATTTCTATTAAAATATAAGTACTTAATACAATATTTTTATCCTTTTTTGTATTAATATATACATACATATAATTTTTATAAAAAATACATATATAACTATATTATATATTTAATACTATATATTTATAAATATTTAAAATATTACTTAAAATAATAAATATATATTACATATTCCATTTATGTAAAAAGAAACAAAATAAATGCACACATAACAATATAGGGACCAAATCAAAACAGCACAAAAATAAAGGGGGCAATCGAAGTGTTTAACCTTAATATTTCATTAAATTACTAACATAAATGATGATTAAAATGAATATTATACAAAGTTAAGAGGACTTGAAGCATAAATACAATAAATTTAAACATATACTTAACGGAAGGACTAATATAGAACAAATCTTAAATTAGTAATCCCAAATCAAGCACCATTACCCCATTCCAGTGGCTCCACCATTTTCCTGACAACCAAACATCAAACACCTATAATGAAGATTGGGTTTCTTCCTCCTCTTCTTCACGAACATCAATGGCGCCACCAATACCCCATTCCAGTGGTCCTTCGGCTTCGGTTCGTCCCCGGAGACATCTAACGGTAACTCGAAAAATCAAGGAATATATGGAGAATCAAAGAATGAACCACATTGCTGTTAAGCGCAATAGAAGAAAGCAAATGAATCAGTATCTCTCTGTTCTTCGATCTCTGATGCCTCAGTCTTATGTTCAAAGGGTATTGTGCAATCATTATATTCGCAATCACAATAAGTACGATGCATCCCAGAAAACCTATATAAATGCTAACAAAGGATTGCCTTTTTGTGTGTGTGTGATCAGGGTGATCAAGCATCGATTGTGGGAGGAGCTATCAATTTTGTGAAAGAGCTCGAGCAAGGGCTTCAATGGCCAAGTACGGAAAAAGAGGTAAAACAAGACAGACCAAATTTTGCAAGAGCTCTTCACATTCCCACAGTTCTCAACAAGTTCATCATAGACTCATGTAGTCGATAATTCGATCTCCGTGAAAGAATCGACAGTAGAGATTCAACCCGCCGTTGCTGACATTGAAGTTAACGTGATTGGGAAGAATGCAAACCTCAAAATAAGATGGAAGAGGCTACCCCTCAGCTCTTGAAACTGGTGTCAGTGTTGAATGCTATGAGTCTCACTATCCTTCATCTCAATCTCACATCGGATGACCGAACTGTCCTCTGTTCTCTCAGTCTCAGGGTAATTTAACGCGTCTCACAATACAAAATAATGTTACAAGTTAACTCGATATGAATCTCATTTGCGACTGTATTTTGATTTTTGATCTTCGAGACATGATTTTGTATGTTTTATTTTATTTTTTATAATGAAACTATAAATGCAGGTGGAAGATGATTGTAAGGTGACTACAGTGGATGGAATTGCTTCAGCAGTGAATCAGTTACTATGTAGGATTCAATGAACTGAAATCAATGGAGGATTTGAATTTAATTCCTTTGCTGTTTGTAGCAGAATCATTCTTAAGAAAATATATATGGCTTATTTTGCTTGCCAAAAAACAAATTACAGAGCTAAAAAGCTTCTAATGAAAAAGTTATATTTTCATTATATAACCAGATTTTTCTTGCCTTTACTGGACGTATTTCTTGCTTTCCAAGTTCCCTATTTAGTATAAGTATTCACTAGGGCTTAGTTTTCCCATAACACAAAACTTGTTTGGTTTTTGAGAGACAGCCGTCTTCTTTGTTCTGTTTCTTTTGTTTAATTACTAAGGTGCCAGCTCTCTTTAATTTTCTATTACACGTTTCTGTTATTGAATCATAAAATTTTCTGCAGTTATTGTTTCTGATTCCTTTTGACTGATAGACGGAAAAAGTTAGAGGTTTGAACCGCATAGCATTACGTGTGTATGCATTAGATTGGATGTAATGGTTATTTCTTGCCTTGCAAGGCACCGTTTTCATTATTTAAGGGTATTTAATTTCCGTTATTTCTTTTGTTTATATACTGTTTTTTTTCTTTCATTTATTTTCTTAGAGATTATGGAAGAAGAAATACTGAGTGTGATTTCAAGTGGCGAAGCGAAAGTGAATTCGGATATTTTGGATTCGATTAGCACCTCAAATCGAGCAAACAAACGCCAAAGGTGTGGTGGTGTCAAAGGCAATTCGTCACAATTCAAAGGCGTTATGAGACAGAAGAACGGACAATGGGGTGCTCAGTTATACGCCAATCATACCCGAATATGGCTTGGAACTTTCAGATCAGAAATAGATGCAGCCATGGCCTATGATAGCGCAGCAATCAAGTTCCGTACCGGAGACACTCACCGTAACTTTCCCTGGACCGGAATCAAGATCGAGGAACCGACGTTTCTGAGCCATTACAGTTCTGAAGCTGTCCTTAGCATGATAAGGGACGGTTCTTACCAACACAAGTTCATGGAATACATCAAGGCTCGCTCTAGAATTAATGCAAAACCAGGCGTTGGTATCAACTCAATGGGGACTTACAGCAATCAGGGGCTAATTTGCAAAAAATTGTTCGAAAAAGAGCTAACGCTGAGTGATGTCGGTAAGCTTAGTAGGCTCGTTGTCCCCAAAAAATACGCAGTCAAGTACTTTCCCCCGGTTGGCGGGAACAGCGATGTCGTTGGTGATCGAAAAACAAATGATGTAGAGCTGGTTTTCTACGACAAGTTCATGAGGCTATGGAAGTTTCGTTACTGCTACTGGGGCAGCAGCGGAAGCTTCGTTTTCACCTGGGGTTGGAGCCGGTTTCTGAAGGAGAAAGAGTTGAAATCCAAGGATGTGATCTCCTTCTACGTATGCAAGAGTCGAAAGGAGAATGAAGTCCGGAGATTCTGCATGATCGACGTGAACAAATCCGGGAACCGTAGAGCGGTTTTGGTCGAAGAGAACAATGTTGGTATTGGAAGAGAAGTCGATTTGCAGCTCCAGTTGGGACAGTTAGATGGTGAAAAACAAGAACAAGGATCAATGGCAGCAGACAAAGTTAAACAAGAAGTTAAAAGTGAGGGATTCAAACTATTTGGTTTCCATATTAACCGAAGCTCAAATCCATGGTTTTTTTAACTATCAGGACTGTAGCTGAAATCAACATTGCAGCTGAGCCAGCTGTGATGACTTTAACTTGATTTGTTCTCTTAGATTATTAGCAGTTTTCTATTTTTTTTTCTGGATAACAAAAAAATATCACTTAAAAAAACAGAATAACAAATCAGAATGTTACAACTTCCAAATACTAATTTTGTTCAGTGGCCTCAACATCCAATTTGAACCTCACATTCACTACAAATTGTCTCCCTTGCTATATGAAAAACAAATTCTACAGTTTCAAAATGCATTTTCTGAAATTGCAATTCTTTCAACAACGACAAAAAAAAAACAGATAGTGTACCAAACCAGTTTAGTTTCTGGACCTATTTGCTGCAGCAAGTTCAATGGTGATGATGAAAGTTGATCTGTCAGCTTCCCTTAGATACTGCACATCACCATTCATGAGTTTCACCAATTTTCGGCCAATGAGTAAACCAATACCTTCCTCTGATGCATCTCCATCGGTTCCAAACATTTGGCTCAGCAATGCTTCCGGTACTCCACCACCTGCATGTGTTATCCTGTCCCAACATACACATTAAAATCAATGCCTTATCTTTTTCAGACTCGATATGCGTCTAACAATGATATGCCCATTACCTGAGTTTCAAGTGTGCAAGATGAACGGATTGTCCTAGTTGATCTTTGGTTAAGCTAGCTGCAACGGTGACTTGGCCTTCATTTGGTGTAAAATTAACTGATATCAACAAGAAATCAGCCAAGACTTGTTGAAGTCTAAAACCATCTCCATACAATGTCTCATTCATGACTTCTGCTGCTGTATCGTTGAGCATTCAGATACTTTTCTCAGTGCTCTTCATCATCACTTGACTAATAGAAGCAACCAATACCACATTGAAGGTGAATTCAATCATTTCAAGATCCATATAGCTGTTAAAAAAATTCAGAAAACAGGAAAAATTAAGATGATTTTTCTATCTTAAATAAAGAAATGAAGCAATAAAGGTTTTAGTACCCTTCAATGAGGCTATCGAGGTCCGAATCATCAAGTATCTTGCTAAACTGGCGCTGGCACATGGTACTAGTTTGAAGAAGGCGTTTTTGTTCCGGTCCCAACTCCGTGTCTTCCATCATTTTCCTAGAAAATATAATACCAGAGAGAGGGTTACGAATCTGAGTTTTCAAATAAGCCAACGCTTTCAATCTTTTCATGGCGGTTTGCTCGGATAATTTCTGGACATGAAGTGCTTGTTGCAGTTCTTGGCTTGGGAGCTGTAAGAAACAGAACACACCGGTGACAGCACCACCTTTCATGTCCAATTTCTTGTTCACACATAACCAGCATTCGACATACTTTGTTAAAAGTTTCAAAGTTTGGCAATCAATTTTGGAAAATGTTTTTTTCAAAGTTTGGTAAATGTTTCTTTGAAAAATGTTTTTCAAAGTTTCGTAAAATTTTGGTAGATGTTTGTTGAAAATAGGAATGGGTAAATTCACTTTAGTCATTGCACTTTAGGGTATTTTCAAAGATTAGTCCCTAAGTTTCTACTATAAATACCCTTACCCATTTAGCTTCAAAATCATCCCAAAACATTTCTTTCTTCCTATACTAGAGAGCTTTCTTGTGAGTAGTGAGTGTTTTGTAAACACCTGTAAATTTTCTCTCTTAGTAAAAGATCTGCAGCAGCCCGGAGACGTAAGCACAATTGGCTGAACTCCGTTATCAATTTTCGGGTATTATTTTTCCGCTTTTATTTCGCATTCTCACTAATCTGGTTATAGGGAAATTACTTGTACTCGGTTTATTTTTCTAACAACTGGTATCAGAGCTTTTGGTTGTGAATTTTGTCAATTTTTCTGCGAGGTTACTATTCATACTATTCACGTGAATAGTGAATTCGTGAATAGTGAAATTTCGGTCGGCGATACGAGTTTGTCGACAGTGGTGTTCTAATACACGGTGGTTCGCAAGAATTGTCAGAAACGATCCAAAAGAAGCCAGATTCGAGGTGGAAGCGATGGCTGCAGATGAAGGGAAGGTGAAAATTGAAAAGTTCGATGGTGCGGACTTTGGCTTTTGGAAGATGCAGATTGAAGATTTTCTGTACCAGAAAAAACTCTCTCCAGTATGTATGAGGAAGAAGGCTCAAACAAAGTTCATTTGATGAGGCGATTATTCAATTTGCGGATGGCGGAAGGGGCATCGATGGCACAACACCTAAATGAACTCAACACAATCACAACCCAGTTGAGTTCAGTGGAAATTGAGTTCGATGATGAAGTTCGAGCTTTAATTCTCTTATCATCTCTACCAGACAGTTGGAATGCTACTGTTACAGCAGTCAGCAGTTCGTCGGGAAACAGCAAATTAAAATTCGACGATGTTCGGGATCTGGTATTGAGTGAAGAAATTCGACGAAGAGAATCGGGTGAAGCATCAACCCTCAGCCTTGCACACCGAGTCTAGAGGGAGAACTTCAGAAAGAAATTCAAATCGTGGCAGATCAAAATCCAGAAGGGACAAATCAAGAACAGGAAATAAAGATTTTACCTGTTATAATTGCGGCAAAAAGAAGGGTCACTTCAAAGAGATTCCGAGCACTGAAGAAAATCGGGTGAAGCATCAACCTCCTCAGCCTTGCACACCGAGTCTAGAGGGAGAACTTCAGAAAGAAATTCAAATCGTGGCAGATCAAAATCCAGAAGGGACAAATCAAGAACAGGAAATAAAGATTTTACCTGTTATAATTGCGGCAAGAAGGGTCACTTCAAAAGAGATTGCCGAGCACTGAAGAAAGATACCGGTGCACAGGAATCTGCCAACGTGACAGAGGAGACAGGTGATGCCATGATTCTAAGCGTCAAACAGTCCGATTGAATCATGGATCTGGATTCAGGGCATCTTTCCACTCCACCCCTACCAAAAATCATGGAGAACTATGTCAGTGGTGATTTGGAAGGTTCATCTTGCTGATGATGAAACCTTAAAGCTGGCCTCAAAAGAAATCTATTCCTGGCCTCAAAAGAAATCTGATTTCTGTTGGACAGCTTGATGGAGAAGGATATAGCACAACCTTTCAGGCTGTGAATGGAAGATTACCAAAGGAGCATCGTCATTGCTCGTGGTAAGAAGATTGGTACTCTATGTAACCTCAAATTTAGAGAATATCATTGCAGTAGCAGATGCTGATGGAAAATCAAACCTATGGCACCAAAGGCTTGGCCATATGAGCGAGAAAGGGATTAAGACACTTTTGTCAAAAGGGAAGCTGCCGGATCTAAAGAATGTAGATGTCGACTATGCGAGGATTGCATCTTTGGCAAACAAAAGAAAGTCAGTTTTGCAAAGATTGGCAAGACACCCAAGGCAGAAAGGTTAGAATTGATTCATACTGATGTATGGGGACCATCCCAGTTCCATCTCTTGCAGGCTCACTATATTATGTCACCTTCATCGATGATTCAACAAGGAAGGTGTGGGTTATTTTCTGAAGAAGAAATCAGAAGTTTGATACCTTCAGAAAATGGAAGGCCATGGTGGAAAATGAGACTGGTTTGAAAGTCAAGCGGTTGAGGTGACAATGGAGGAGAATACAGAGACAGTAGATTCAGAGATTTCTACGCAAACAATGGGATCAAGATGGAGACAACAGTTCTCATAACACCGCAGCAGAATGGCGTAGCAGAGCGCATGAACAGAACTCTGAATGAACGTGCCAGAAGCATGAGGATACATGCCGAATTGCCCAAATTTCTATGGGCTGAAGCTATCAACACTGCAGCTTACTTGATCAACCGTGGGCCCTCAGTTCCTTTGGATGGCGGAATACCAGAGGAAGCTTGGAGCAAGAAAGAAATAAACCTTTCATACTTAAGAGTGTTTGGTTGTATTTTTTATGTACACATAAACTCTGCTGAAAGAAGTAAACTTGATGCCAAGTCCAACAAATGCGTCTTTGTTGGTTACGGTGGTGATGAGTTCGGTTACCGGTTTTGGGACTACGAAAATCGAAAGATCATCAGAAGCAGAGACGTCATTTTCAATGAAAATGTGATGTACAAAGATAGGTCAACCGCAGAATCAAGTAATACCGAAGCTGAAACAAAGGAATTTGCTGAGTTCGAGGAGATTTCTGGAAATGATGTTCAGATCAATCCTGAAGCAGTTCAAGAAGAACCAGGCACACCAGAACTGAGACGCTCCTCCAGAATTCCTAAACCAACCCAACGGTATTCTCCTTCTTTACACTACTTGTTGCTGACTGACAATGGTGAACCAGAGTGCTATGATGAAGCAATGCAAGTGGAGGATTCAGTCAAGTGGGAGTTTTCCATGAAAGATGAGATGGACTCGCTTATGTCAAATCAGACATGGGAATTAGCTGAATTACCACCAGGCAAGAAAGCGCTCCACAACAAGTGGATTTACAGGATCAAAGAAGAGCACGATGGAGCAAACGCTACAAAGCAAGATTGGTTGTCAAAGGCTTTCAGCAAAAAGAAGGTATTGACTACAATGAAATTTTCTCTCCAGTCGTAAAATTGTCTACAATCAGACTGGTGTTGAAAATTGTAGCTGTAGAGAATTTACATCTTGAGCAGTTAGATGTAAAGACAGCTTTCCTTCATGGTGATTTGGAGGAAGAAATCTATATGAGGCAGCCAGAAGGCTTCATAGAGGCAGACAAGAAAAACCTGGTATGCAGGTTGAAGAAGAGCTTGTATGGTTTAAAACAAGCTCCTAGACAGTGGTACAAGAAGTTCGATAGTTTCATGAGTAGCAGTGGTTTTATCAGATGCCAAGCAGATCATTGTTGCTACATCAAGAGGTTCGACAACAGCTTCATTATTTTATTATTGTACGTTGATGACATGCTCGTTGCAGGCTCAGACATGCAAGAGATTATACACTTGAAGCAAAAATTGTCGAAGCAGTTTGCTATGAAGGATCTGGGCGCTGCAAAGCAGATTCTTGGGATGAGGATCAAGAGAGACACAAAGTCGGGGACTTTGATGTTATCACAGGCTGAGTACATCAACAAAGTAC